GGGCAAGACCACCCTTGCTCAAAAGATTTACAATCACCAAAATGTAAAGCGTCATTTTGATGTGTTGGCTTGGGTTTATATATCTCAAAAATGGAAACAAATGATATTTTGCAAGGAATCCTAATTAAATTTGTCCCGGACAAGCGTAAAGATATTATGAAGCTGAGAAATGAGGAGTTAGTTAGGGAACTTCTCCAAATCCAACAAAACAAAAGATGTCTTGTTGTTCTCGATGATATTTGGTCAGCGGATGCTTGGAATTGCATAAAACCTGCCTTCCCTGTTGGAAAGATAGGTAGCAAAATTTTGCTTACCACTCGTAATGAAGAAGTGGCGTCACAAGTAGATCCCAATGGTTTCCTTTATCAACCACGATTTTTGAGTGAAGATGAAAGTTGGGAGTTGCTTCAAAAGAAGGCTTTGAGAAATAGAGAGAGTACAGGTAATTTATCACTGCACTGTGCATTACATTTAATGTAAATTGTTAGTATATGTGTATAATTTGTATATGTGTATAATTTATATACATATAATCATGATGAATTTTCATCCCCCCTTACTTCTTTAAAAAAAATCTTCACTTACTTTTTGGTATAATAATATTTGTAATTTGGTTTCGTGTAGCAATTACTAGTATGTAATTTCATTTCTTTTAGCAATTATATATATTTTTTTTGCTTGATAAAGCATGTCATATCTCAAAATGTAAATTTTATTGGTCATATGTTGACTAATGTCTAAAACGTATCGATCTGGTGTTGACGAGCTCCCAAGAAATATCAGTAGAGTCGAAGAAATCGAAGATTTTATTTTTAGATTATGAATACATTGAAAAAGTGTCAAACATGTATAAGAATATATCAATGAAGTTTTAATACGGAGACGACACGAGTACAACTCTCTCTTAGAAATATCCTTACTTCTTAGTTTGATACCCATTTTAGAGAGAGAGAGAGAGAGTAACTAGGCCAGTTAAGTCCATGTACATGGAGACACTAAATGTTGATGAAGACATTCAAAAAATGTTGGTACCTTTCATCCCCAACAAAACAAAACGCATTTCATTTGGTGGAAATTTCATACTCAAGCCACATGAAATTGTATTGAGTAGTTGATCTTCTATGAAATGGCAAAAAAAAAAAATTGATCTTCTATGTTTAAATTTTGGGGAACAATTTTAATGAGTGCTTGATAGTTGAAAATTTGAGAAATATTTATTTTTGTTCAAAGATAGAAAGCTACAAATCTCTTAATTTCCTAGAATATTTTTTTTTAATATCCAAACTATCCCAATAGATCACCGCAGTACTACCTTGTTCACATACGGACTTTGTTGTACCTTGTGCATATTGGGTATTGGAAGCAAAATAAATCACCAAAAGAACACAAAAACAGAGGACAAAAATCTGCTCCACTACCACAGTAATTTCACTCAAGAAACACCTCTATATTTCATCAAAAATGATCACAATGTCAAGGACCACAAAAGGGATAACTTATCTGAAATTTTCAGCAATAAACATCCAAGAAATACAAGGGAATAGAGCTTCTGCTTATGAACAGCCTGCTGCGTTTTTTCTGGCAGCAAAACAGAATTTTTACTCTGTTTCTCTCTGTTTTTTTTTTCTCCAGATACACTCCACTTTTTGGGCAGCAACTCCACTCATTTTATACTAATTTTTCTTAGCCAAAACACCTTGAATTTGGCCATTTCATGGCCGGCTATCCTGAAGAAAAAAAACTGTTCGATTTCCCATGTAGCCATGCATGAACAACCCTCCCAAGAACATGAATAGACCTCCCAAAATATTCTGGACATTTCTAGTGACCATCTCTTCAAATACCATGACTTATCATAAACTCAAAAATACAAAAAACTATCATTTAAAAATTGAGATTATAAAAACTAACATCCCCCCTTAAACTCAATTCCTTGGGTTCTCATGCCTAGCATTATTTTCAATCTTCCAAACACATCATGCTTTAATGGCTTTGTAAAAATGTCGGCAACTTGATCTTGAGTCTTGCAATGCACCAACTTCACTTCTTCATTTTTCACATGTTCTCTAATAAAGTGGTAGCGCGTATCAATGTATTTACTCCTCTCATAGAACACCGGGTTCTTAGCCAATGTCATCGCCAATCTATTATCAACATGGATCTCCATGAGAATTTCTTGAGAAAATCCCAAATAATTCAACAAGTTCCTCAACCAAATAGCATTACAAACCGTTGAATTTGTAGCCACATACTCCGCTTCACACGTAGACAAAGTAACAATTGCTTGCTTCTTAGATGACTAAGTAAAAGCCGTATCTCCCATGAAAAAACAATAACCCGAGGTATTTTTCCTTTCATTCAAGTCTCGTGTCCACTCACTATCCGAATATCCAACAAGTCTAAAATCATTAGTGCAAGAATAAATAAGCCATCATTGAGTGTACCTCTAATATAACGTAAATCCTCTTTGCCGCATTAAGATGAGTTTGATCCGGTATTTTTATGTATCTACTAACCAAACCAACTCCATAAAGAATGTCCGGCCTTGTGCAAGTAAGATACTGAAGACTTCCAACTAAACTTTTGAAGTAAGTTGGATCAACATTTTCACCACTAATGTTTTTCCTCAATTCTAATCCAATTTCTATGGGTGTGTTCACCGGGTTGCAAGAATCCATCTTGAACTTTTCGAGCACTTCCTTTGCATAAATACTTTGAGAAATAAAAATTCCATCTTCACTTTGCTTAACCTCAATGCCAAGGAAATGAGACATTAAGCTAATATCAATCATTTCAAACTCTTCAACCATACTTCTCTTGAATTCACCAAACATCATTGGATCATTGTTAGTGAAGATCAAGTCATCAACATAAAGGTAAACAAGTAGCACACTTCCATTGCCATTCATCTTCATATATAATGCATGCTCATAAGGACACTTTTGAAAACCATTCTCACGAAAGTATTTGTCAATTCTAGCATTCCATGTGCGCGGTGCTTGCTTTAATCCATAGAGAGCTTTTTTCAACTTGTACACTTTATCTTCATGTCTTTTTTTCACATACCCAAAAGGTTGTTCAACATAAATCTCCTCCTCAAGAAATTCATTCAAAACATGCCAATTTCACATAAAGTTGGTAAATCTTCCACTTGTTTTGTGCTGCTAAAGAAATCATCAACTTAATCGTTTCCAAACGAGCAACGGGAGCAAATACCTCATCATAATCAATTCCGGACCTTTGCTTGTAGCCTTTAGCAACCAACCTTGCCTTGTATCTTTGGACTTCACCATTTGTATCCTTCTTGGTTTTATATACCCACTTCACACCAATTGCTTTGTGACCTTGGGGAAGACAAACTAATGCCCATATATCATTCTTTTCAATTGCCTTCATTTCTTCATCCATTGTTATTCTCCATTTCTCTTCTTGAACCACTTCTTCAAAACATAAAGGATCACAATCCATGAACAAACAAAACAAATTCAAGTTACCTTTTAAAATTTTCTGTAGATTCATAAATCTCTTGTAAACTTCTCATTTTTCTTGGTCTTTCACTTGAACTTGAATCTGATGATAAAGATGATGATGATGATTCACCTGTAGAAGATGAGGGGAATCCATGTGGAGGAGTCTGTGACTCTCTTTGGACTTCCCTTGGTTCTTCGGACTCTTCTTCTTCAAGCAAAAGTTCCACTTCGGTGGCTAAAATTTTTTCTTTCCAATCCCACATATCTTCCTCTTCAAAGATTACATCTCTAGTCATGATTATTTTCTTAGTAATGAGGTTGTATAACTTGTATCCCATTGTTCTATTACCATTCCCAAGAAAAATACACTTTTCACCTTTATCATCAAGCTTTATCCTCCTTGCTTTAGGAATTTGCGCATAAGCAATGCATCCAAAAACTCTAAGATGGGCTACACTTGGGTTGAATGAACACCAGGCCAAACCTTTTTTGTTCAATAATCTATTTGCTGTTTTTCACAGCCATAGAAAAACCTTATATGCTCAAGGGGCAATCAAAAGTTTTCTCAGTAATCTTGTGCATGATTTCTGGCACTGAAGAAATTTTGTTATATTTGTTGTTTTGCAGACCTGAGTTATGTTGAAAAAATGGAGTTAGGGAGGAAAATGGTTAAATATTGTGGGGGCCTTCCTTTAGCTGTGGTTGTTCTTGGAGGACTTTTGGCGACGAAAGAGACCTTGAGTGAGTGGGACATGGTACACAAAAATGTTAAGTCACATCTAAGCAGAGGCAAAAGCACCGAACATGGTGGGCGAGTGGTAGACATATTAGCTTTAAGTTATGATGACTTACCATATCAGTTGAAACCATGTTTTCTTTATTTGGGCAACTTCAAGGAAGATTCTGAAATAGAAGTAGAGAGATTATATCAATTGTGGATAGCTGAAGGTATGGTGCCATCAGATGATAGATTAGAAGAGGAAACAATGATGGATGTAGCTGAACGTTACTTGGGTGAATTAGCACATAGGTGTATGGTTCGAGTGCAATTAGAGGAGGAGTCAACCATTAGAAAGTTTATATCTTGTCGCCTTCATGATCTAATGAGAGAGCTATGCTTGTCCAAGGGAAAAGAGGATAATTTCCTCAAGTTCATTGATTATCAGCATGGAGATGATGATGAGCAAGTGGAATCCTATGCTTCAACCAATAATACTCGTAGACTTGTCATTTATTTGGGTGAGGAGGATGTAAGTCAATATGTTCCCCCAAAAAAGGAAACAGTCCGGCACCTCCGATCACTTTTGGTCTTTGTATCAGATGAGTACGAGGGACGTATGTCACGGATGATGAAATCTCAATTTAACAATTTCAAGATGCTCAGAGTTTTAGCTATTGAAGGATTATCATCAAATCTTACAGACACATATACTATTGAGGCTCTTGGTGTGATAATTGATCATTGGAAGTTATCAAAAGGAATAGGTAATCTAATCCATTTGCGGTACCTGAGTTTGAGAGGGTCTGCGTGCGTTAATTTCCCATCATCTATAGGCAACTTAAAAAACTTGCAAACCCTTGATTTAAGGATTGATATCCTATTTTTATGGAATGTAAATGTGCTAAGAAAGATGGGAAGACTAAGACATCTATATCTTCCACATTTTTATGACATTGATCATATGTTTGTAGTAGAAAAAGTACGGTTGGATGACTTGAGCAAACTGGAGATACTCGAAAACTTCGATGCAGCTTATTGTGTGGTTAAAGATCTTTTCAAATTAATCAATCTTCGAGAATTAACAGCACGTGTGGAGAAACTTGAGGACCTGCGAGCAATCATGAAGCATGTAGGAAACATCGCTCCGAACCACCTCCGGAACTTATCCCTCCGTATTGAATGCAGATTTTGTTCTGAAGATGAGTTAACTCTCCTAACCCAATTGTTAGGATGTCCTCTACTTCAGAAGTTGGAAATAGTTGGGCTTATAGGTAAGTTACCTGAGCACACCCATTTTTCTTCAAGCCTTACCCAATTGTCTTTGTATGGATCTGAACTTGAAAAAGACCCTATGGCAACGTTGGAAAAGCTTCCTAATTTACACAAAGTCGACTTGGGGATCGACGTCTTTATTGGGGAGGAAATTGTTTGCTCTGCTATGGGCTTTCCACAACTCAAAAATCTAGAATTGTGGCTATTTCCGAATTTACAAAAGTGGAGGGTGGATAAAGGAGCCATGCCCAATCTTTCTACTTTGGAAATCCGTTCTTGCAAAAAATTGCAGAGGGTTCCGGAGGGATTGAAGTTCGTCACTACTCTTCAAGAGTTGGTAATTGGTGATATGCCTAATGAATTCAACGAAAGGATTCGAATTGTAGACGGGCAAGAAGGAGAAGATTTTGACAGAGTCCGACACATCCCTTCCATCGTCATTTGGTGAAATGAAGCAACGAAAATCAGGCAATCAGGTTTGTTTTATATTTAGCAATTTCATGAGCTTTATCTCTTTTTGAATTGAATGAAAATTAAAATAAAAAAAAATAAAGAATTTGGCAAAAATAAGGGAAAACTGAAAAGCAAATAAAGTTTCTTCCACATCTCTCTAAAATAAAAAATTTCTCGGGTTCGACTATGCTCCGTCAAGCATTGCTTTTTCCACATCCCTTTGAAGTATTAGAATATTAAAATCTACCATATGGATATTTTCACTTAACCAAATTAAATTTGAAAAAATTAAAAGACTTTTTTGATCATCTGGTCATAATGCTCTACTTTAAAAAAAAATTAAAAATTTTTAGAATACAATATTAAAATTTATGGTCAAAACTCGTTTGATCAATATATTTTGTTGAAATTAACCAATTAAGCATTGTATGCTGTGGTTTTTACCTTTTCCTTTTTTATTTTATTCAAATACTATTGGCATGAAATCAAAATGCAAAAAAAATTAATGGAGTGGAGCTCTATGCCTCTCTCTAGTTTTTGGTTAAATGTGACATTATATTGGTGGATCATATTTGGGGTGTGCTTGTTTCACTAAACATTTGATCTAATCATGGTCTTAATATCTCACATTTGTGATAGGCATTTTCTCTTATTCTCTAATATTAGCTATCTATTAAGCAATAATTTGATGTCGACTGGATGCTGGTTTATTTCAGTTTCAATTCTCATTCACTTCTTTTGTGAGTAGTCATCCACGGTAATTGATTGAAACCATGAACTGTCATCAATAGGTTGTTAACTGAAGTAAATTAATTGCATAACTAGTTCATGTATTTCAAACCATGAATTTTATTTTTATTCTCATCTTTTTCCCAGTGGAGTTGGGTGGGGTGGGGTGGGGTGGGGGAGGGTAGGGATACGGTTGGGACTGGAGAGGATTGTGTCTTGGGTGGCAAAGTAACATTTGGAGAAACTGGAATTTTGGAGTTTGTTAAAAGCTTAAAATTGCAACATGTGTTAGACAATTAGGATATTTAGAAGAATATCATTGATATTTATCTATAGTTTAAAAGAAAAATATAAATTATTTTCAAGATGGTAAAAATACTTCACTTGGAGCTTAATTTGAAATAAGGCAAATGTAAGTCTAAATTAAAGAATGCTTTTAAAGTTTCAATTTTGCCTAGAATTAAGAATGCAATAGAAAGTAGAAACGAACTTGTAAGTTGAATCAACAAAGACTTTGCTATGGAATATGTTGTATTTGCCATTAATTTCTTGTTCCTCATTCGTAACAGGGTCCTGAATTTACTAAGCATACACAACCTGATATAATTTCAATACCAATTGATCTAAATACAATTTTTTTTTTTTAATTTCCAGGTAACGCCATCCTTGGTGCTGGAAACTTTTCTTGCACTCCATGAGAAGATGAATTAAAATCAGTGAATTGCTTTGCTGAAAACTCTTCTTGCTTGAGGTCTAATATCTACCTAATATTTGTGACATTGATTGTGATGATGTACTTTCAAATAACTCTGCAAACTTGAACTAAGCCTCTCGTGTGTTTGCCTTTAGTGTAAAATTTTCATGGATTGATCGCTTTGTTGAACTCAAAATGCTGAGGTCTTGGGCCTCCTAATATTTTGTGTGAATTTAATCGTGATTTACTTTTATCTGATTATATTGCTCGAATACTAAAATAAGTAATTATTTGAATTTGAACTCCTAATTATTTAATTTAATGTGTGACTAGTTGGATTGATGTAACTCATAGAACATGACCTTTAAATTTCATGGACTCCCCAAAAAATTATTTAATGACAAATTGTCGATTTTATTTTATTTTATTCAAATAGTCCGACAGATGTTATACATGTCTTCATTTTACATATCTCCTATGTTTTTCCTCACTGCAAAATTCTCGTCAAAAAAAGTTTGATAGGGAAAGAGAGAAATCATTGGGAAAGACATGAATAAGGGTAACTCGTGCCTGAAGATACAGTACAATTAGATATTAAATTTTTGAGAGAGATGTTGGTGGCCGTTAGATAAGTATATTTGAGACCATCGAATAATTTTATTGAAATCTGTCATGTTTTATATTATACATGATTTCAACCACTTATTATCTTTAAAATTAAAAATGCCACGTATTTATCACGTCATTATTTTCATAATCAATAGCTAGAAATCAAATAAGCCAAACTTAATAACTATAAAACAATTTCAATACGATTGACCATCTTCGTAAGTACTTAATTGAAAGTAAGAATATTTCTAATTTTTATTTTAGATAATCTTCGAAATATATGACTTTGCGACAATGCTAAATTTGCTTATCCGTCTCAACCTATCCATTGAATTACTACTGCTTATGCCCAAAAATAAAATGGGGACTTTTTATTGGGTATCATTATACATTTACAACACCCATAAAACTTTATAAAAATATATTTGGATTGTGGGTTAACTGGGGTTATCATATGTAGGATGAGATAAAAAACTAAACGGGGTCCATTTATATCATGTTTGGGAAGTAAATTTGAAGGTTGAACAGTCCAATAGGATTAACTCCCGGACTGCGTCTACAGTGCTTTTAAGCTTGACTACATAGGTTATTTATAGTGTCCGTTTAGTTCAGAAGAAAAAAAATGATGAAAAAATAAAATGATAGAAAATAAAATGATAAAAAATATATTTTCATACATGTATTTGGTTCGAATGAAAAACTTATAGAAAAGTTTTAAAAAAACTTTCATTCTATTGTTTGAAATAAAAGTTACAAGAAATTTTTATAATTATCTAAATTATCTTTAATTATATTAAATTGGTCTAAAGAAAACAAAATAAGTGTTATAATTGAAAGTTTAAAGAGTGGCTCGAAACATATTTCTAGATAAATCAGCACGATGGTCTTTGGGTGAAATTATAATTAAATCCATATCAAGATTTTTAAAAATTAATAACCAATAAAATATCTTTAAAAAATAAGGGTAAAATAGGAAGTAAATTATAACTTACAACTTTCTTGCATTTTCTTGTGTTTTTTGCAAGAAAAAAAATTGGTTAGGTGTAAAAAAATTCAAGCATGAAAAAAAATATTTTTTCCCATTTCATGTTAATCAAACAAATGAAAATTTTAAAAATTTTCTCTTTCTGACATTTTCTATCATTTTCCTGCAAAACAAATTAATCCAAATAGGGGTCTGTTACACAATATGAGACTTATTTGGAAAAAAATATACACATTTTTAAAATATTTATAAATAAGTCTACCCACTATAACAAAAGTCCAAAATAACCGTTTTTGAAGTTGAAGAGTTTCTTTCCCTGACTAAGGAAACTAGCGTAAAGATAGCCAAGAGATAGCAAATGTTCTGTCTTCTCCACCATTGGTGTTGGACTTTGCATGATTTGATGATACAACTTTGAAATTCAAATGATGTTCACATTATCTACCTCAAACTTCATTCTCTCATCATTATCACATTACAAAGAAGGGTGTCAAAAATCATTATTCTTGAGGCTTTCACCGTGAAGAACACACATTGTCGACATCGTTGGACTTCCTGGGAAGAAAATGAGGGTTTTATCTCATTGTGAAGAAATTAAATGATTTCACTGTGAAGAATACACACAACCACCTATCTTTTATAACATATATTTTTCATCATATCCATAACTAACCAATTGCTAATAATGGCAGAAAAATTATGTAGAAACAGTGTAACATTATCACTATTTCTAGTGTTAATAATACATTGCAATAATTATAATGTCCCACTACAATAGTAATCATCTCATAGTGCATAGTGATAATGTCACACTGCATAGTGATAACATCTAATTATATTATAGAATTATATGTGAAGTCTACAAACAAATAAGAAATTGAATCTCAAGTCATATTATGGGATAACTACAACAAGATGTAGTTCAAAAATCAAACGTGTTGTCTCAAAAAAAATTAGAAAACTGAATCCCACAATTCAATGCCTAAAAAATAATTCATGAAAAACTCATCCTATCTATGTCACACATGCCAATTCTGGATCCACAAGAGTTGTGCTCCCTTAGTTAGCACCATCAATACTGCTCAATTAGGTGAGAACACACAACTCTTGTGGATCTGAATCAACATCTGTGAAATAAATACATCCAAAATCTCTCTATTGACTGTAACCATTCAAATTGAAGGACTAACATTAGGCAGACAAGCATGGAGGCTTAGAAAGGTATGTGGGGGGAGAGTGGTGCACAGAGAGAGAGAGAGAGAGAGAGAGAGAGAAGGTTTTGGAAGTTGTAACAAAAGAAGATATTCAAGCACAACCACCTCAAATAAATAGTAGTGAGATCCCTCCATGGAAAATGTTAAAAAAATGTTAAGGAAATGCTATTTGTACCTAATTTAGTAATATTATTTGGTGACATGATGAATCATAGTCATTGAATCGTTAGTACGTCTCAACTAATAGTGAAGTCCACAATCAATTTAATGACAAAATAATAAGGTCACTAAATAAGATCCATATAGCCTTACTTAAAATGTTAACTCCCTCAAAGCTAGCCCTAACCCTTGGCCTGACAAAAATAATTTCCATTTGGGAAGTGTTACACTCGTGAGCTTCTCAACATGTGCAACGATCAACTACGATTTGCACAGTAGGCAAATATTCGAATCCATAACCAGAGCTTGAAAAATGTAATTTGAATTTAATTGGTTGATTTTATTTGTTGACATAATGCATCATAGTTATGAAATTAATAGTGGCTCTCAACTAATAGTGAGCACCGTCAATCCTATATCAAAGAAAAATTAGATTAATAAATAATATAAATTATATTCAAATAACATTCAGTTTTGCTGGACTACGTTTCTTGTCAAAATTAGTGGTTAAATAGATACAACTATAGACTTTTCAATTTTGTTAGTATTACATTACTAATGTTTGGTCCACTTTATCAATAAATAGATCTAAGATTAAACAAGAA